ACAGGTGAAAAGAACAAATGTTCAGGTTCTTTTATTTTTCTTGAGCCTTGTGTTGGAAGGAATGTCTTGCTAACTGGCAGACTCAATCTATGTCCTCAGAAATGGAATGTCTACTATATGAGCAGAAAGGACACAGCAACCAAAAACAAACAGTGGGGTGGCCTCCAGCAAAGCCAAGGCAGAGTTCTGAGAGTGGGGAGAGCTGAGTGATCTCCACAACAGGGAAGCGCCTGAAGGGAGGCATTGGATGGTAGAGCCAGGAGCTGGGACTGCCCTGGACTTGCAGCTGTGGGGCCACTGTTGAAGCCGAGTCATCTAGATCACCGTGTGACACTTGGTTCTTCTGGCTGACGCCTGGACACTTGACCTCTGAACAGCAGTGAGAACCCAGAGAGCCCCTTCCTATTTAGTGCCCAAGTCTGTCACCCTCATGAGCATCATTGGGGAAAGTGGGAGGTAAAGGAAGAAAGGAAAAAAGGAAGAGAGGGAGGAGCTGCCAAGGAAGGCAGGCACATTAGAAGAAAGAGCAAAAAGGAATGCGTTCCTTGCCCCTTCAAGGTTGGGAGTCTTTCCTGGGACCTGCTGCGGCATGTGGGTAGGTGTGAGATTTTACGGTGAGCTTTTTGATGCAAGACTGTTTTCCCCGCATCTGGTTCATTACCTGATCTCAGCGCAGGACAGGATTATCTGGTCACTGGAATTTCCAAAAGTCATTCCCCTAATAGCCTGACCTTGTTCACAATGGGCATCCCAGGAAGAGCAGAAAGCTTTAGAGACTAGAAACATAAATCCTAACCTTCTTTCTGGTTCACCAACTGACGGGGGCAGCTATTGGGGCTCCGTGGGCACTTCGAAGAGGTTTAATGGTCTTGTGTCCTAGAACAAGGAGCTGGGCAGAGACCTGTGGATAGAAGCAGAAATGGGAACTTATAAAGAAAGCATACATTTGCAGAGGAGGAAGGGGTCAGAGCAAAAAGCAACACCCTGCTGTACAAATGGAAGGGTTTTTGTTCACATGCCCAAGCATTATGGCTTATTTGCATAACTTGGCTTTTGTCTGCTTGTTCTAACTGTGACATCTTGTAACTCATTCCTCATTAACAGTTTAAATCTCCACCTAGGTCCATACTCTGGAGCTCCTATGCTTCTGCTACAGTGGCTCCAATGGCTCCAGCCAAGTCTAGTTGCTGTTAGCTGGAGATTTCTTTGTGCTTGGTTTAAGGCATTTCTTATGGGCTAGTGTTAAGTTGGGAGTGTTGCCCTAGTCCCTGGCATCCATCCCAGAAACCCCTGGCCTGGGAGTTGGATTGGTCTGGACTCCAAATCCCAGTATGTCAGGTCCTAACCCCTCCCCAGGGGAGGGTCAGGACCACTCCCACAGGGTATTTAAGTGGGCTCACAGAGAAAGAACACGTGGTCCTGGGTTTTGCAGGTGCTCATTGGCTTTCTCCCTCCCCTGTCATGCTCTCGGCCGCCTGAGAACACTGCATTTAATAAAACATGGGCATTTTAATTTGGTTTAATCTGTTTTGATTGGATTTTTGTGATTTTTTCCCCCTAACAGCCAGTTTTGCAGTCTTTGTGTGTAAGGCTTTCTGAACCTCACTCTCTGCCCCAAGTGAGAAGCAAAAGATCTGTGGGCTAGTCACTTAATTTATAGATTTGTTAACTCTTTGTGTGTATAATTATCACCCAGTGAGAGCTGAATTTGAGATCATTATGGGGCCTTTGAAAGGCAAGCAGGATATTCACTGAAGTGACGTGACTGTAGGCTTTTGGTTGGGAACTTATTCCTTTGACCAAGGCTGATGACAGGGACAGACTGACAAGAAGGCAACACTTCCAGTGCAAATATTTGGAAAACAAAACAAAACAAAAGCAAAGAGAGACCTGTATACTGAAAAACGATAAAGAATTCGGGTTATCCTACAACACTCTATTTTGAGTCAGAAGACATTAGAAATTTATGTAAAAACACATATGTTAGCATCTTGGTTGCATTACCCAAAACATACTTTAGCGAATTAAGTTCCTTTCCCCTTTACAGTGTCCTCCATTAATTAGTTCTGAAATTCAGCGGACACGAAAGGCACTCCTACAGAGAAGTATGGCTTGAGATAGCCCAGCAGCCCAAGGGAGCCTTTGTACTATTATCCAGCTTGAATGCTGATCTCTTATTCCTGGTAATTCTGTTAATATATCATCTGCTTTCCAAGATCTGCAAGATCTGTGACAGACAGCACCATGCCACTGGTGGGCGGCTCTGCAGGTAAGCTGTGCGGTCGTGGTGGAAGGGGGTCTCTCATGACCACAACAGTTCATCTTTGGGCCTTGTGGACTGAACTGCTGCTTTAACTTCGTCTCCTCTTAGTTGCACTTAGTCTACACTCAGAAGGACTGTGAACTTCTGGCTCCATCTCTGTGGGCTCTATTAGTAACCCTCTAATTCCTGAATATCTACAAGAAATCCTTCAGCCAGTAAAAGGGGACCACAGGAACCACTCTGCATCCCAGACTCCTCTGGAATTTGTTGTTTCCCCCATCACCTCTCCAGGAGTTCAAGATTCCTGCCTGCCCCCCTTTATCTGACCGTTCTACAAATAAAGCCATAGAAATAGCCTTGCCCAACAACACCCCTCTGACTTGTAGAAATAACATTGATTTTTCACCCCAATTTCCTAGTAGTGGTTAGAGTTGTGTCTTCTGGGGGTGGGAGGAAATGAAATGCTGAGAACAGGAGATCACTAGCAATTGGCCAGGCAGACTTAGGGTAAAGGCATTCCCGAAGAGTGCACAGTTTTCTTTCTTGGCTACAACTCAAAAACGTTCTCAGGTATGTCAGCATCCTCCTGGTCCTTGAAAGAGGCCAGATATGTTTCAGCCAAAATGTCTCTGGTTTTGCCATGGCCAGAGGCTGGGGTTTCAGAAAGGGCTTGTCTGTTTGTTCCATATCTCTTCCTCCACCCCCAAGGAAGCACTGTTTCCTGGAAACCATACTGAGGCTATGGCTGAAATGGGGGGCACCTGGGCACCTTGAATCAGCTTCTCTCCCCCTCTTCCATCCTTCATTCAGAAAAGCCTTACTAACTTCCAAGGCGGCGGCCCTCAATGGCATCCCACTCCCGGGACCCTCCTGTGCGTACAGGTCCTGCTTTCTTCTTTCTCTTTAGCTTTCTGTAATAAAAATAGCTTCTCTCTCTCTCTCTCTCTCTCTCTCTCTCTCTCTCTCTCTCTCTCTCTCTCTCTCTCTCAAACTTACCTTCTGTGGTCCATGAGTTTCATTCTTTGAATTCAAGAGACAAGAATCTAAAAGCTGCCAGCTTCGGGAGGCCTGAGCTTCTAGGGCCTTAGGCCCCCAAACAAAGCACAGGAACTGAGAAAGGCTCCCTTGCTCTCAAAGACACCCCGACGTTCTCATGTGTATCTCCCGGATCTGGATCTTAAAATACTTCAGAAGTTGAGCTCCACCCAACCAAAGCTTCTAAGGAGTGGCAGCGCAAGTCAGTAAAGACACACGATTCACACCGACTTCTTCTCTAGCTGCCTGCTCATTGGTTTGCCCAACCCCCAACAATGTGTGAGTCTTTTTCATTGTCCCCAAATTTTATTCTCTTCAGATACTTTTCTTTAGTCACTCACCTGTCTCGTTTGTTGATGCTTTGCACCTCTAACCAACTGGGTCTCATAAACAACTGTATGTTCTCTTTGTAACACCACTCACCGTCTTAGAGTCAGTCTTTGACGGCGTCTATCTGGATGATCTTAGAAGTATTGCCAAGGGGTTAGTATGATAGGTGCTGACTGAAATGAGTCAGCACTGCTGTAACATTTCCAATCAAGGTATTTTAAAAACACCTCAGTTTCTCCTTATGATGAGCATAATCTTACTATAATATAATCACAGTTAATCATCTCAGTGCGAAGATTCCTAGATTTGTTTGTTTACTTCTCTACACCAAAAAGACACAATAGGTATGTGCATTTGTGAACTAGCTTAGGGTTGTGGTTCGTTTTAAAGCTTAGTAATATAGTTCATCATTTGAAAAAGTTGTCTCACATACCATGATTTAAGGAAAAACATTATCCCATCAATAACAATAACTGGGCAACTTGGTTGTTTCTAATTTTAAGTGATACGATTTATTTATATAAGTGTCCAAAGAAAGAGGTCCATAAGACCATCGTGCCCAGCTGCTTATCTCTCTAGTCTCACCCAGAGCCAGCCCGCTTGTTCTCGGCATGCTACAGTAAGTTTGAACATGCTGTCATTGTCACACAGCATTTGCATGGCTTCTTCCACTCCGAGAGAACGCTCTGAGTCCTCGCTCACTGCCAGACCAGTTTCTACTCTGCTGAGATCTCATGGAGACTTTAGACTAGGTCACGGTATGACGGCATGTTCCACGAGCATCTTGACATCCCCAGCTCATTGTGACTGCATCCTGTCATGTTTTTCCTACACGTTGACATTTATGGAGTGCCATTTGTTTTATGTTTTGATAACCTGATGATATGAGAAATCTTGTTACTTTATTTAGCATTCCCTTTCATTTTCTTTTTTCTTTTCTTTTTTTCTTTTTTTGGTTTTTCGAGACAGGGTTTCTCTGTGTAGCTTTGGAGCCTGTCCTGGAACTAGCTCTTGTAGACCAGGCTGGCCTCGAACTCACAGAGATCTGCCTGCCTCTGCCTCCTGAGTGCTGGGATTAAAGATGTGTGCCAACACCGTCCGGCTTCCCTTTTCTTTTCTAAAACAATTACTTTTGTGTATATGTGTTTGAGCACTCAGTATGTGTGTGCTTGCTTCTGCCACAGCATGTGGAGGGGTGGAGCCAATTTGGTTGACTCAGATTCTTTTCCCATCTTTACATGGGTCCCAGAGACAGAACTCATGTTGCTAGACTTTCCCAGCAATCACCTTTGCCCACTAAGTCATCTCACTAGATCATTATTTACATACATGTATGTATGTATGTTTCTGAACTAGTTAATTTTCTACTGGGAAATTTATCATATATTTATTAATTTATAAACATTCTTTACATATTAAGGCATTCATCTATTACCATTTTTATAGAATTCATAATATCTTCCATACATATTTGTTTTATATCACCAACATTTTCCCCACTATTATTCAATCAGATTTTGTCACCAGTTTTTAAAAAATTGATTAGAAAAATCTAAGCCCAGATACAAAATTAGGAACATTTTAGTACTTTTAAGACTAATTTTTAAAATTTAGAAACAAAAAAAAACAATGCAATTTAAACAGTGTTTTGAAAACTTAAGAGTGCAGTAGCATGCATAATCCCCTTTCTCTATGAAGTGGTGGATTCCAGTTAAAAGCTAGCAGGATCAGAACAGAGTGAAGGCGAACATAGAGACAGCTTTCATGGACTTATGGCAGTGATCAGTTGGGTTGAGGTCATGATCAATACTATCATGAATCAAATGCAATCACTTCTCCTTTTAAGGTCACTGTGTGAGCTGCACACCAGTTCTTCCAACTTATTTTATTATCAGTATGACCAAGAGGCCCTCATTTCACGATGCACAGCCACATTGTCTTCCTGCCACTGATGCACCGTCTCTTCCGGCAGCTTGGGGATAATCAGAGTTGAAACATGAAAGGAAGGAAAGCCATTCGGGATGCTCTTGCACTTTTAGCATTGAGATCTCAGAAGAGTAGAACACAGCGAACGCTGAAACATAAAAAAAAAAATGTGATTACGATATGCCTCGGAAGCACTGACGACGGCACAGTGATTGTGCGTGGTACCCTAAGGATGCTCAATGCCCAACTGTCCCCATCTGCATTTCTTCTTTGCTCTAATTCACCTCAATAACAATCGGCGTCTGAATGGGGTCTGATTGGAATCCAGTGTCATACAGAAAGGAAAGGCATCCTCTACAAGCGTAGTTCCCTGTGGCTGCACAACCATAAAAGACCCCAGGACCTCAGGGGCAGCTTCTCAGCAACATCCTGCTGCTGTAGCATCCTGACTAACATCTGGACCAGAAAGAAAAAGATGACTTTCTCTGGGTCCTCTCCTCCTGCAGTTTGTCCACTGCCTGCTAGATGCCTTCCCCCACATACAATCAGCATTTAAAACTGTCAGATGAGTTTTCCTGGAGCTTTGTTCTTGACTTAAATGGACTGACATACACGGGGAAATTTTTACCAGAAAGAAGAGGGCAAAAATGTGAAGGTTTTCATATAAAAATCATTTAGCAAATGAAGTGTGCAGGCAGAGTCAGGGAATGAATACGAATTGGAGACTTGCTTCAAAGTGAACCAAGAAAAGCACATTTATAGACGTTTCTTTGCTGTTTGTTTCAAGCTTTACACTGAATCTCCAACCCTTGTAGCAGTCCTGAAGACAAGAAGCAGGGCAGCTGTCTCCAAATCCAAGCCTTTGCTCCAGGAGGGAGAAAGGCAGGAGGTAAACAAACTTCCCAGTCTGGGAAAGCAGAAGCTTGCAAGATTAATAGTCACTCTCCAGGGCCATGGACGCGGTAAACCACTCAAGAGGCGATTCTAAACAGTCCAGCTGCAGAGAGGTCCCTGGCGTCTGTTGAGCCGCTTGTCTGTAAGTAGTGCAGAGAGCGCCAAGGGCACAGCCTTCGTGAATCATCACCCATGCTCGGGGCGAGGGGTGGGGGTGGGGTGAAGCAGTTTCTTTAGAGTCATCTCTGTTCCTGTGAATACCCCTTCACACCTGCTAGTAACCCCAATAAGAACTCAGTGGCTAGCCGAGTTGGACTCTGGTGTAATCGTTACTTTGGCCTATTGTGGGTCCCCTTTCTGGGGTGAGTAGGTCGAGAGGACCAAGCTGATGCCATAAGAGGCTGCTTGGCCTTCTCTCAGAGATCAGGCCTCAGTTTCAGTTTCCTACGACTGAGCAAGCAGCGTCTGGGGAAGAGCCACCAAGGACAATCAATCTCCAGCACCCTGACAGCAAGGACGAGGAGGCCTCGTACATGCTGTACCAGGCCTGAGCCAGCCCCCACAGTCAGTACACGCTAGGCCAGCCAGCTTTCACAGCTGCTCAAAGACAAAGCCAGGGACTTGTCAAGGCTCGCCCTCAAAGGGAAAACCGTAGCCCTGACAAGCGCCGGACTAGCCCTGGCCAATTAGAATGCACTAATATGATTGCCACTTACTTGAGCCAATCATTTTCAAAATGACCTGCTTTAGGCCCTCCCCTTGACTGTGCTTAAAAGGAGCCCATTTGTCCCTCTGGGGGGCGTCTTCCTCATCCTTGCCTTTGTGTGGGACGGCAGGTCCCAGCATGCTAGAATAATAAACGCTCTTGCTGATAGTATACATGAATGGTGGTCTTCCGTGGGACTTCTCCAGGACATAGGTGCATAGGTGCGTGCGTGCGTGCGTGCGTGCGTGCGTGTGTGTGTGTGTGTGTGTGTGTGTGTGTGTGTGTGTGATAGAAGTCCCCAGGAAATTGATCACACACAGCAACAGTCCACCAACTCCCGAGCATTTCAAGAACATGTGAACAAATTAATGCTTGCGGAGTAAATGGTGCAGTCCTAAAGTCTTGCTAACACGTGGGTTCCATTATTCAGAAAAGATGTACGAGGTGTTGGCATTCAAGCATTTATCCCGGCCTGCCCTCGGTAACCTAGCAGACAAGTCAGCAGCAGCAGCCAAGATGTGATCCCGTGACCACTGCAGCCAGCGAGTAGAAAGTAGGCTCCCCATGTGCATATACTCACTAGAGCCCCTTAGAAAAAGCAAGCCCTTCTCACCCCCCCCCCCCACCTCTTCCTTCCACTCTCGCGGACAGGCCAACTCTGCACCCCACCCTCCAATAAACTTCCCACGTGAACTCTTTTGTATGGTGTGGCTTTGTGGTGTGCTTTGGCTCCAATCCGCCAAGGTTACCTTCCACTGTTAAACTATTACACAAGGATTTTTGTCCTTGGCAGGGGTCTAAACACGTTCCTTGAACTTCTTGCAAGGTTGCTGACTCCAGAAATTCAACTCAATTGTTTTAGAAATTTTCTCTAACCAAATATTGGACAAATATTGCCCAATGTGAGTCTGTGTTGTGCTGAATTCTTCACTATCTTTCTCAAATGGATGGAGTAGACTTTTCCCAAAGAGAGGCTGCAGGTAAAGCTTTTCCTATGTTGATGACATCAGGAAGATGTGCATAAAAGATACCAAAGGTCCATGGAGCCCTCCCGGCGCCTTTAACAAAACCACTTAGAAACACCCAAGTCGTCATTTCCTCCGTGAGTTATCAGAATACAGGAGAGCATCAAGCAAAAACTCACGTTTTTCCTTTATAATACAGTTTCATGGCTTTGTGGAGTTCTTTAAAAGGCAGCTGATGAGTCACTAGTGGATCTATGTTAATCTTGTTTTGGAGATAGTCAGTTACTAGCTGGGGAATACAGTCTTTGGTCTTATAATCTGCAAAACAAAATGGCTATTAATAATCTGACCGGAGACCAACCAGGCTGGTGGGATGGCTCATTTGCTGTAGGGACCTGACATCCTGAATTAGATCTCTGGGCCCCAGAAGGTAAGTCATCAGTTCTGATAAGCCACCCTCTGAGCTCCTCATGGGTGGCCTGGCACGTACATACACATGCATTCGCATACACAGTCACACAACCCAACACACAAATAATAGTAAAATAAATGTAGTAAAAGTAAGATTAGCCAATCAAAAGAGTAAAAAAAAAATCAAGTAAGTCATGAGAGATGGGTAAGATACTCTCCGAAAAATTATCATTGAAAAATAAAGGAGAAATCATTTGTACCTGAGAAGCTACTGACAGCTGCTGCTAATGTGGTTTTTATAGAGAGTTCTGTTACCTGGTCATCCTTTAAATAAAATCTCGGTCAATATTACTGAGTTGAAAAACAATCTCTTCACCTTATCAAGCCCTATTCTGGGATTACCATTCCCAAACAACTTCCTCTCACATCCGTGGGTGTCTTCTCTATCTACATACATAGATGTGCTGTGGAAACTGTCATCATCCACATGTATGGAGATGGCATGTAAGCCCTATGTATCTCCATGCATGGGTATGGCATGGGACCCTCTGTATCCACATGCATGAAGATGGCACGGGAACCCTCTGTATCCACATGCATGGAGATAGCATGTACTCTCTCCCCTAGATGAATGGATAGAAATGGGAGTGTTAATTTTTTAAGTCTGCTAGCCAATATTGCTCAAAAATAAGGATTTTTCTGGGAAGACAGAAACATAAGGTCAAAATGCCAGTTTACTGACATTTAAGACACTAAAAGGCATTTCTAGTAGCACAATAAATTGAATCCATCGATGCAGAACCAAAGTTAAGTAAATTACTCTAATTGCAACAAAAATCTTTTTCATCAGAGAAAATTATAATCCTCAATGGCTCCATTATTTTATTTAACTAATTAAAATTCATTTGGTGGTTGGGAATATGGCTTGGTTGGTCAAGTACTTTCCATGAGTTCAGGTCCCTAGCACCCAGGGTAAACAGTCAGGAATGGTAGTTTGCACATGTAATCGTAGCTCTAGGAAAGTGGAGGCAGGAGGATTCCTGGAACTCACTGGCCAGTTAGTTTTACCCAGCTGCTGAGCCCCAGCTGTAGTGAGGAGCTCTGTGCCAGAAAGTGAGCAGGACAGAGGAAGTACCTGATATCAAACACCCCCCCCCACACACACATGTACATACATGAACCCGTACACACATAGGAATACATACACATGCATACATGATAATACACCTTCCCCCAGATTAAAAAAAAAAAGGCAATTTGAAGAACGCTACTCTCATTTCAGGAGGAGTCCTTGGACACATTACTCTAGATGTCTGGTCCCCTCAGAGGAGGACCTAAGCGATCACATCCTTCCACCTACCTCCCAGACACACGCCCTTTAGGGTTTTTCCAGACACAATTGAGACTGCCTGAAGGCACAGCTGTGCGTTCACTGGAGCCACCCCGATGATCAGACAGACCCCGTAGCTGCTGTTGCAGGAGTTCCACGCAGCGAGCTGAGAAGGACAGCGACAGTCACAAGCACGCCCATGCAGTAATACCAACTCCCCACAAGGCGAAGGGATCCTGATACCCTTGAGCTTTGAACTTCTCTTGGGTAGATGCAACTTCAAATTCAACCTCGACACCAGGGCCATGTTTGCATCTCCTCAGAGAGCCAGTCACCTACGTGACTCAGGCAGACACTTTAACCTCCGTGCTGGCTCAGTTTCCTTGTAGGGTGGTTCTGAGTACAGACCGATTTATCATCCTTAAAACCCCCTGATCACAACACCGACCTGCGAGAATAAACGGTGTGTTCACTAAAGCTATCACAGCCGTAAGGGCCACACATTCTATATGTCTAACTTTTCACTTGCTACACTTTACTGCCCAGTCGATCTGTACTAGAACAAATCAGAACAGAACATAGTAAACATAGATGTAGCCGGGGGAAACTTCATTTAAGAAAAAATGAATTTTTCCAGGGGTTCATAAGCACACATTTTCTTATCTCTTTTGCCTTCTTTCCTTTTCCTTTCTTTCCTTTCCCCTCAGATTTTTACCTTATTGGCCTCCTTTCTGTCACCTTCATCTTTACACTAACATCCTTTGGCCTCTGACCAAGGAGCTAGACACACATTTCCATGTAATGTGTTTATACATTCCTTTCTCTAAACTGTATGACCCAGGAGGCTGCCAGCTAGGTCATTAATCCCTGTAGCCATAGAGGCTGACACATGGAAGTCTAGGTGATTGGAAGCCCCTGGCCTGGGAGTTGCCTTGGGCCGGACTCTACTTCTGGACTCCAGTTCCCAGTCTGCCAAGCGCTGACCCCACAGGATATTTAAGCTCGTGCCAAAAAGAGAAACACATGGTTTGGGGTTTGCGTGCATGCATGTGTGCGTGCATGTGCGAGTATGTGCGTGCGTGTGCGAGTATGTGTGTGTGTTTTCTGTGTCTTTTCCTTGTCATGTTCTCCCAGCCACTCGGGAGCATGCCGCTAATTAACGCAGGCATTTAATTTGGCTTAACCTGGCCTGATTGGATTTCTTTTTGCCGGCAGATAGATTTTTCCTAATGATAGAAGTTTGACAAACAGTTTCTCAAGTTCTGTTAGAAGCCACAGATAAATATATGTGATTCTGATAGTTTTCTTATTTAGATATAAATAACTAGAATTGAGAAAAGTGAATTACTGAGCTCATGGCTCTTTGCATATCTCAGTGCTGTGTACTGTAACTTTAGCTCTCTGTTATATATTGTTTTTATTTCATAAACTAAGACTGTAGAGTGAATTTATATTCCATTTTTTACTGGGGGCACACAGGCCTAAACATATTTCCAGAAGAGCATATTTCCAGATTATGCCTCTGAGGCAGCCCGCTCTCACTGTGCCCCGTAAACACACCATGGTTTCAATCTTTCCGATGGCCTCGAAGGCAAAGTTAGCACCCACACCCGTCATTTCCATCACCACGTCCTGGACAGGCTTCTCGAGCTTCGTAGGGTTGAGACAATCAGTGACACCCAAGGCTTTTGCCCGGGAAAATTTCTCCTCATTGATGTCAACCCCGATGATTCTAGAAGCACCGGAAGCTTTGCAGCCCATGACAATGGCTGAGCCGACCCCTCCGAGTCCAAACACCACGCAGGTGGAGCCAGGGGTGACCTGCAGATTCACACATTGTGCCGTTATTAGTTTTCAAAGCTGGGCACAGGAGCTAAGAAAATAAACCAGGAAGTAAAAAACAAACAAACGAAACTAGTTTGTGTTGTGGGAGTAACTTCCGCTGCCTCTACCAATAGTCGCTAAAATACGAGCCCACAGTACAGCGGGGAGCGACTTCCGCTCCGTCAGCCAATAGCTGCTGAAATATCAGCCCACTGGGGCGTGGTATATTTCTCTTTTAAAAAGAGAAACAGATCCGGATCAGGCCCTCTTGGTTCCAGCTCTTGGTTCCGGTGCTTGCTCCTGGCTCCTGCTCCCGGCTCCTGTGACTTGGCTCCCTTCCTGACGGTTTATGGTGTATGTAAGTTTTACCCCCCAAAATAAATAACCCCTTAAAACATAACTGGTGTGGGATTGATTCGCCGATAAGTTTGCTTTTGGAAGCTGTGTGTACACCACTTGGATCATATGGACAGATTCCATCTAGTTTTGATCCCCTCCCTCTCCATGACATGGATAACACACAAATGTTAGTGAGGTGCAGTCAAACCACGGAACTCGACCATCCCCTGGGTAGAGAGAAGGTTGCTGGGGGACCAACTGCCGGGGTTGCCTGGGAGAGTAAAGAAAAACAACTTGCCAGGCATTATCAGCTTTATCCTGCAGGTTGGCATAGGAGGTGGGTGGGGACCAGAACAGCTGGGAGTTAGCCTGGGGACTTTGAACAGTCCCTGGCGGGCTGTTTGGGTTAATCAGGGACTCACACTTTGCTGTTGGGGGTGGGGAGGGGCAGTGATTGATTTCCGGATGACAGAAACCCGGACCAAGAGGTTCCTGAGGAATACCAAGTTTGGGTTTCTGTTTACCAGATCCAAACCCGGTAAGAATCCAGGCTGGGTTAGGCCTAGGCGGTCATCTCAGGACACAGTCGGCAGCAATGCCATTTCGGGCCCGCTTTGCGAACGAACAACAAATCCCTTGCTCACCTTGGCTGAGTTAACAGCAGCCCCATAGCCTGTAGGGACGCCACAGCTTATGAGACAAACTTTATCCAACGGAGCCGCAGCATCAATTTTTACCACAGCAAACTCGGGCACAACAGTGTATTCGGTGAATGTGCTCGTGCGGAAGGAATGATAAATCGTCTGTCCTCGGCAGGAAAACCTAGAGGTCCCGTCTATCATCACCCCGGAACACGGGAGAATACTGTCCCACAGTGATGGAGACGGACATCCACGAACAGGCACAGACATTAGGAGTTAAAAAGAGAGATGAGGTCACCATTGGGCACAATACAATGTGAGCAATTGGATAAAAGGCAAGAAACAAATCTACTAACTCTTGCTTGTCACAGAAGTTTCCTTGGACGTGCAAGCAGGCGTCACATTCTCCACACTGTGGAACAATGAGTGTGAGGACTTTATCTCCTGTAAGGGGGGGGGGAGATAAATCAACAAACCTGGAATTACTCATGTAATAAAAATACAATAAAATCTTTTCGGCTCTCTTGAAAACACGCCCTGGACAGATGGCAGCAGCCAGTGTGACACTTTCAAAGCACAAGTCTTTTTTTACCTGACTTCAAATCTCATCTTTCCTGTCCTGAGATGATCGCTTGGGCCTAACCCAGCCTGGACTCTTACTAGGTTTGTGTCTGGTAAACAGAAACCTAAACTTGGTGTTCCTCAGAAACCTCTTGGTCTGGGTTTCACCATTTGGGTAAAGATGAGACATTGCCTGCCAGGTAGAGAGTTGTAGGACCACCTTTCCCTACTTAGAAAAAAGAACAATAGAACCAGGAAGGGACCTTGAAGTCATCTAGTTAATTCTTTTGTTTTTCATTTTTAAAAATGTAATCCCTTGTGGGCAGTGGCAGCACGGGCTTTAATCCCAGCACTTGGGAGGCAGAGATAGGTTGTGAGTTTGGGGCCAGCCTGGTCTACAGAGCTAGTTCTAGGACTGCCAAAGCTACACACAAAAGCCTGTTTATGGTAGCCCAACAATGTCAACACTCTCTCTGGATTCTGCATGGCTCACTCTCACACTAACACTCTGCAGGCCTCTGGCACTGGTTTACTGCTGATCAATCTAAGACATGTCAACTTCAGAGAAAAATGTTCTTTCTCCTCCACGTTCTTTCTGGAACAATTACTACAGAAGAGCTCTGGAGAGAATCTTGAGGACGTTTCGGTCTTGGCTCAGCTCTTGCCCCGAGGTTTAGAGTGACAGACAGGGTGGGACTTGGGAGAAGGTTGACCTATGCAGTCATCACAGACTCCTGAAGACTGGGTCAGGTCTACACTGTTATCTCTGTAGTGGCCTCTACAAATGCTTATCGTATAGGGAAATTCCTTAAGACAGCATTTAAAAACAGCTTTAAACATCTTACCTTTACTGACTGTAAAATTTTCCAGATATTAGATCTTAGATCCAGAAGAAGTTCTAACTATCCGTTTCCTTCAAGTGCTCATTATCATTTCCCACAAGATTCCCCATAGAATCTTTCCAGCTAAAGAGGAGGTAGGCTGTAAACTCTCTTATTTATACGACATTCTGGGAGGTGCATATTCAACTCCTTACTTCTGTGCCTCTTACTTGGTTCACAGCAGGCATCTCATAATTGCTGTACACATGAGTACGCTCATGATGGCCACGGATGGCCTTGCTATGTACTTTCTCGTGTGCCTTTATGCAGCTGGTCCCAAACTATGGGGTTTCTAAATTACCAGAATCTAGGGGCGATTGCTCATCCCCTGTGATCGTCTCAGGCATGCTAAGAATAATGATGTCAAGATCCTTCAGGATGCAACTGGGGACAATTCATTGGAAGGTAACTATCATCCTGTCTGTCATGGCCTTTTAAGCAGCACATTCTGGTTTGTTAAAACATTCATTCCCTTGCCAAAGACTCCAACTTTGGAATGGGCACCATGTTTGAATCAAAACATAAGTGGTTCTAAAGCCCGAGGACCTTTCACCCAGTTTGGAGGTTCTCTGCTCCTACATCAACCCTTATCTGGCTGCCTCAGGAGCTGTTCTCCACACCCTTTATGTGAGAGAAAGGAGGTGGCTGTGGTGGGGCCCTTTGGATTACTGGCTTCATTCGATAACGTGACATGTCATCAACGAGAAGAATCTAGAGAGTCAAACCCAACTTGTTTTTCTGCTGAATAAGCTAACAGTGTAGCCGGAGTCCTGGTGTGCTGCTCCCAAAGAATATTGTTTCCCATTTCCTACCTGGTTTCACAGAGCACACCCCATCGCCAACAGACTCCACAATTCCTGCTCCCTCGTGACCCGGAATTAAAGGAAATTTCATCGAGAGGTCTCCTTTCAGCACATGGTCATCGGTACCGCAGATCCCTGTAGATGCCATCTACATAGAAATTAAGGGACCCAAAGACAACTGATTTATGATTTTTTTCCCTCCCTCTTTTAGACTGAGTGTTCGGTTGTGTTTTGTTTGATACGAATGATCTCGCTTGATACCTAAAGCAACACTCTTGTGTTAGAACAACAGCCTGCCCCTTAAAGAGAGATCCCTTTGGAAAGGCCAGACCCCACCACTGCCCCTCCCTGCGCTTCCTGCTGTGACAGAGGAAAGAGTCAGTCGCCCCTTGACAGCTCTGTGCAGAGAACATGGTCCTCCGTTTCTGTCATGTCCACCATGGTGAATCAAATCACGTGCTATAAAACTTCCCATCAGCCCCCTTACCCAAAGTTAGGCGTTTCCTTTGTTCTGGGGATTGGTGCAGAGCTGTCTCAGGGGCCTTGGTTTGGGGAGTACTCCACACTGCCCTCTAGAGGCATCTCAGGGCTCCCTGGCAGCCCCTTAATGGTTGCTCTCTGTCTTTTCCATCAGTTTCCATATATACACGGCATCGTTTCTGTCTAACGTTACCCCTCCCCCACCGCCCCGCGACCTTCAGGCCTGATCATGGTCTCAAGCTTTTTCTCCCAATAAGCTGCATCTCTGGACTGCCCGCTGTTGTCTTATTATTGCTTTTAAAATTATATCTAATGAGAGGAACACAGAAAGTCTCCCTACCAATTTAGGAATGGTCGGGAAGAGAGGCCCAGGGACTGGAATGACTTATCCAATGTCACATAGCTTCATGTTCACACCTCATAATAAACTTGTCTTTTGAAACCTAGTCCATATGACCTATGAAATGAGGAGTTCTGGAACAAAATGGTTTTGTTTTTATCTTTGGAAATATTAACAATAGCATCACTATCAGGAGACACAAAATTTCAGGTTCAATATTGTGAAGTGCAATGCTTTGGGTAAATCAATTTTCAAAATTTTAAACTTGCAAGTTGGAATTTTTCTTTAAGCTGTGCATGGTGGCGCACCCCTTTACTGTCAGTGCTTGGGAGACAGAGGCAGGTGGATCTCTGTGAGTTGGAGGTCAGCCTGGTCTACAGAGTGAGTTCCAAGATAGCCAGAGCATCTTTAGCATTAGAGAGACAAAGGCAGGCAGATCTCTATAAGCTCAATGCCAGCCTTGTCCACATAGAGAGTTTCAGGCCAGATAGGGCTACATAGTGGAATCTTGTCTGTCTTCAAAGAAAGACAGACAGACAGACAGACAGACAGACAGACAGACACACACACACACACACACACACACACACACACACACACACACACGGGGGAGGGGAGAGGGAGAAAGAGAAAAGCAATAATACTGTAAAATAAGATTAAGCTAAATAAACTAATATTGCAAGATTTAACTGTTATTGGAAAGCATAAAAACTTGGATAATGATTTAAGATTTCTTGCCTGTGATTGGTCCAACCCTTCTACATTAAACCTGCCAAATGAGTTATCACATACACAAAGGCCTATGGATTCTGAATCCCAGGAGAGTGCAGAAAAGCAGTCTGTGTGTTTCCATCATCTGTGGCAGAAGAAGCGGCAAGAACACCAGAAAGAGCCACATCTGAATGGAGCAAGTGGGTCCTCACTGTGTTACAATGGCTTCCTGATGCTACCAAAGGCTAGACATGCTTTTTTATATACGGAAGTTCCAGGCTCTTATTCCTTTGTTGTGTATAGCAAATGAGAATATGGGATTATCTGTAGCCATGGTTCATCGAATAAGCTAGGAGGGCAGGAACTCATCCACCACAGTGGGCATATCCAATCTCTGACTTTGATTTTATCAAGGGCTCAATGTGATGATGCTGATTTCTAGCCACGGCAGTCAGCAGCTGAGTGGAGTTGTCTGCAGGTCTGACCTAGGGTATAGTCTTTATGAGTACGGAGCATAGCAGCCCAAGAGCGGTGACCGACTCAGAAGTGTTGTAGATGGTGGTGCAACACAAAATCAGCAGTGACAGCTCGCTGGGTGTGTGAGAAGGAAGGGAACATTGTTTCCAGAGAGTATTTGGCCAGAACAATGATTGAGCCCTGTCCATGGCTACACTTCTGCCACTTTTCCGTTTGTTCTCAAACTCTCAGCACATCATTGTCAGGAGCATTTATCAGGAGCTGTTGCAGGCCGGGACACAATTACAGCTTCCTCTGAAAACTGCGGCTTTCTTCTGTAATTTCACTTGTGCAATAACAGCCATGAATTTCCCTATTGCTGTGCGTTGTCATGTCATGTGTGCATGTAATCTTACAATTGCATCTCAGTCGTATGGTCACACATATCCGTGGATGGTCAAATGGATGACTTTACATTTAGCTATATAGTTTTGATATATAGAATATATACTGGAACTTGCTTCATAACTAGGTCCAGTGTCCCATGATGACTACAGACACCTGAAAGCCTGCTTACTAACTACACACAATTAGCTCATTTGCACCTCAGAAAAAATTCAACAAGACTCAAGGCATTTTCTAAAATGAAAACTTTGCAGCTCACACAAGGTCAGAGTCACAGATGTCCAACCAAGGCTACTAAGATAAAACATGCCAATTCTCCACTTGCCAGTTCACTAACAATGGATCTGAGTCTCAACATTGTCATTGATCCCTGTGCGACCCCTTGTCTGGTTGAGGGTTTGCTCCTATGGCCTTGGACCTTTGTGTTGCCATGGTGAGCAGCTCAGCTCTTTATACTTCAAGTCTCTTTAGGAGAAGAGTTTTTAGAAGAAGAAGATGAAGAGGAAGAAGAAGGAGGAGGAGAAGGAGGAGGGGAAGGAGAAGAAGAAGAAGGAGGAGGAGAAGGAGGAGGAGGAGGAGGAGGAGGAGGAGGAGGAGAAGGAGAAGAAGGAGAAGGAGAAGGAGAAGGAGAAGGAGAAGGAGAAGGAGAAGGAGAAGAAGAAGAAGAAGAAGAAGAAGAAGAAGAAGAAGAAGAAGAAGAAGAAGAAAAAGAAGAGCAGCTGAAATGAAGCACAGCCTGTGTGCTCCTGGGAAGCATTCACCTTTGGAACCCTGGGTAGGGGCTGGAGCCAGCCTCATAGGACACCTCATAGGACACACATCCTTGGACACCTTGTCTATAACTTACTGAGTGTGAGTTCCTGGTTTTTCTGTTTTGCCTTTCATTCCTCATCTGTCTTTTTCTAATTCTTCCTTTTCTGTCAACATTATTTTTTTTTAGAATTTTAAAATCCCTATTTTTAGTTTTAATTATGTGTGTGCATGTGTATCCATCTAGGGCTATGTGCGTGTGAACGTAGCTGCCTGCAAAGGCAGAGAGACAGAGTGAAATCCCTTGGAACTGGAGTTACAGGCAGTTATGAGCCACTAACCTTGAGTGTTGAGAATAGAACCTGGGTCCTCTGGAAAAGCAGCCCGTGCTCCTAACTGCTGAGCCATCTCTTCAGCCCCTACATTTATTTTCTGAAGTGTAGTAGTATTTTCTTTCATCTTCAAAAGTAAAGGCTGGCCAGCTTAAACTTACCTTAATGCGAACTTCTCCAGATTTTGGAGGCTCAACCTGCACTTCTTCAATTTTAAGAGGAGACTTTTCTTCCCAGGCAATGGCTGCGCGGCATGTGATTGTCTAATGCGCACAAAATAAAATGACATTTACCAATAAATTCCTTTTTTTTCTGATTACATTTGCTGTTATTTGTAAAAGTATAAAAATCATAGGGAAAAAGCCAAAAATAAATAAATATAAACAAGTCACCTGCATCCCAAGCATAAACCTCCAAGAATTTAGCAAACTTTCTTACAACGTTTCAAAATATATTTTACTTATAAAATCTTAATAATTTTAAAATAGTTAAAATCATTCCATATGAAGAATTCTTTCTTCTCTCTTCTCCTTGCTCTTCTTCCTCTCTGCTTCTGAGACATTCACTGTCCAGTGAACTGTTACCATTCACATATTTATAAGCATTTCTCTTGACTTTGAAGAACTTCATTGTCATAGTTTGAAATGACCACTATATATGGGCATATCTTAATTTTCTTAATAATTACCTAGCTATAGGAGTGTTTCATTGTTTCTCTTCTTACAAAGTGTATTATGAACACATTTGTTCAAATTTTTTTCTTGGTTGGTGTGTTTCCTTAAGTGAAAATTTCTCGGGAAAGAGAGTCATTGTTCGTGCTAAATTCATTTCCAAATCTCTTTACAGAAAGACTTAATCACTTGACCCACTCTCCAGAACAATAAATTGCCTTTGCTATCATATATTCCATTATACTTCACATTGGCTGTATCATTAACAAAATATTGCCCAGGCAGAAGAAACCCACTGTCTTCATTGGTATGTTTTCAGAGTAGCAGTATGGGTATCTGCCATGATCTGGTAGCTGTGGAAGGGCTTTCTCATGTATTTACAGACCTATCGGCATCTTATTTCTTTTGCTAAATGCAAATGAGTTCTTTAAACATCCAAGAGTAACTTGTCGTCTGTCAGCTCGTCTTGCAAATTTTTCCTCTGCTGTTTATATCATATCAATTTTGTATGAAATGATGCATATGTTTTGTGATGTTTGTTGATGAAAGTCTTTTCCTTTGTAATTTATTCCATTTCCAGAGTCTGAAAATTCTCTGTATAGTAACAACTGTTTCTCATCCTATCTTTGAAACTTTTCCAGTTCGCTTCTCCAACACTTAACTCCCATTTAACTGAAGATTATTTCTTTGTGTAGTGTGAAGCTAGCATCGAAATGAGTTGTCTCAGGGAGGCCTGGTGTGCACTGTGGTTGCACAACAAATTATTTTCCCAGGCTTCTCTTTAGAGGCTGTTTCTGTTGACTTGAGTATCTTTCTGTGTATTCTTGCAACAGTTCCTTCCTCAATGAGTGGACTAGCTTAACTTAGCACCCGGTGATACTAGTCTGTATAACTTGAAATGTGTTCCATTTGAAGGTATGGTTTCTGCATTGGTTATTGTAAATAGAGAAAAATCTATTGAAAGGAATTTAGTCTGCACTGGAAGAGCTGATACAGATTTTAATCTTATAAAGAAAAAGGACATGGGTCACAATGGATAGAAAACACTACTTTTGTCTATGAACAACCTAATTAGAATAAATTTGCTTTCCACTCAAAACTTTTGGCAAAAATAGCTTTTAGGGAAAAATTCCATATTTCAAAAGCAATATACAGAGAGCACAAAACACCAAGGTACTTAGACAAATGCTCACTCTCTTAGGGAGGAAGCTTGCGGAGCTTAACATCCAGCTCTCACCACTGCTAATGATGTAGAGTAAGTTCTTCCTTTGATGCTCTGTGCTTGCACTGTGTGTTCACAGTCTGGGGCACAGCCTGATGTTCCGTGTAACAGAATGGGCAATAGACCACTTAAGACTCACTAATACATTAGAGCCTCAGCTCTCTAATACGCCACAGATGCTGTTTCCATCCACACTCTTTACCATGCCGCTATTAACCTGCTTGTAAGAACATGCGGTTTTCACGGGGATTAATTTCCAGTCCGAGGGACCTCCGTAGCACAGCACATAGCTTTCCAGCCTCACATATGTCCAGATGAAATGACAGACAAATTTCAAAGCTTTTGCTACAGTATTAGCAAATTATTCTATGTCAACTTGTCAGAAATTCATTCTCCAGACAGTGCTGGAAGACTTTCCACATCTTGAGATCCTTTGGGGGCTATTGTCATTCAAATTTGTTCATAATCTGATCAGAGAACACAAATTCTAAATTTCAAATTTCTTTGAAACATGCACCTGCGCGACGGCAGTGAAGGGGCTATGGGGGCGTCATGGAGCAACCCACTCACCTTTCCTGCAGTGTCCATGGTGGCTTCTCCGGTTTCGCTGGTGTCCTTTGGGTATATCGGAGTAACGTTTGATTGTGCAGGTCCGCAGCCTGGGCCAAGTATTTATAGGGCTCATGATGCGGAAAGTTATTAAAAAGCAATTACACTCTTAACATGGGGACTACCAGAAGGGCGATGGGTTGAAAATATGTGTAAACAAAGGACTGAAAGGAATACGAAAGACCAGGAAAGGATAATCTCCAGGGAGGAGGTTGATAACCAAGATGCTGACTGGGAGGTAATAGCATGAGGAAGAGGTGGGGTGGGGTGAAAGGCTATGAGGTACTGCAGAAAAACAGGTAGTAAAGAACAAGCCAGACAGCACCTGCTGATTAGTCAACAGCACGCTGGAGGAGCAATTATTATAGATGCCAATGCTAAGTGAGCAATAAAGGCAGGCTTAAGACTGGGGTGCCTGCAGCCAGAGGAATGAGAAAGTACAAGTACTCACATAAATGACAATTTAAAACCTGAGGAATGCACTGTGAAACTGAGGGATGCTAAAGATGCTCAAGATGAAGCATCAGGGAAGAGCCTCACACAAGTAAGAGAAGGGCTGCAGAGACAGAACTTACCTAAGAGCGAGGGATGGGTGGGTATTCAGGATAGGGGCCTGTCAGTCAGGGTAAAGTGAAATAAATAGGTCATGCTGATGATGGGGAAGAAGAAGATGTTCAAAGTTTATGATTCTGCCCTGACTCTGTAGGCGTTTCTGCCTTGGCTGAATGAGTGAACACAAGTTAAAAGATCAGGAAGTGGTACCCTAACTGCTGGCAAGCTCCGGCTGCTGGCTCTGTCTGCCTCTAATTCACATCTGTCCAGCACATATAGGGACCTACTGTGATGAGCCCCACGGAGTCATTTGCCTGCTGAGGGCCTATCAACCTCATGGTGCGGAGCTGCTGGGGGGCATTTGCTGGGAACAGAAGTAAGACGGAGGTCTGCAGTCACAGGTCTCTAAGTATGGAGCTGTGTAGCACGCGTTTTAGTAGGTCTTAATAATAAAAGTCCAGAGTCAAGTCAGATATTGGGGAAAATGCTGAGAGATTAGATAGGCAAAGGAGCAAACCCACGACGACCTTACCTCTCAGCTTCCAAGTCGAAAAGAGTTCCTCTTTCCTCGGACCTTCTCATTTCTTCTCTCCAACCAGTCCTATCACTTCCTGTCTGTCTGTACGGACCTCCAGACCTCTATGTTAGTTAGTGACTAGCTTTGCCCTCTAATCTTCAGGCAAGCTTTATTTGTGCAAACAAGGTGTTACCCCAGAGCTACGTCAATCTTTATCCCCTAGTCATATGTTTATGTTTCACTTGTATGCCTTTGTGTTTTCTAATACTTCAGAAAGACCCTCAGGTCACCCGGGGGCCTGCCTTTTTCTCCTGGATTAGAACTGGGATTAGGAGAGAGAGAGACCTTGTTCACCCGCCATGAACCCTGACCAAAAGAATGCTCTCAGGCAGGCATTCTGATGACCGTGTTTAAGCAGGGAAGCATCACCTTACGTACTCAGGGATAGCTCAGGAAGGGAGATCCAGGGATGTGTGACTGACAGCTGTTTATTAAATGGCCTTGTGCTACAGTGTTTCCATTCTCATATTTTCTACATCCATGTTTCCATTCTGTAAATATACATAATGCTTCTGTTCAGCAAAGTTTCATGTGATGGGCAGCATCCTAGTAAGAAAAGCCATGCCTTGAGGCACCATCCAGTTGTGAACTTTCCACCCTACAGAGTCTTCTGATAGCACCTGGAACACTAAGAAAAAAAATTTCAGATCCCTGTGAATTGTAGGTGGAGTTTTCCTGTCTTGCAAGCCACTCCCAAATAACCACATAGGGCTTAATATTGATTATAAATTCTCGGCCAATAGCTCAGACTTATTACTAACTAACTCTTACATTTATGTTAACCCATACTTTGTATCTATATTTTGCCACCTTGCTTCTCTCTGAGTTTCTCGTGACTCCTTTAAGGTACCTTTCTTTTCCCCAGTAGCCTTAGTTTGGTTGTTACACCTCTACTTCCAGCCTGGCTACCAGCCAATTAGCTTCTTATTACACCAATCTGAGTGACAAATCTTCACAGTGCACAAAAGGATTGTTCCACAGCAGTGAATTATTCCATACAGTGTAGTTAACAAAGAGTTGTGGGTCACCATGTGGGTGCTAGAATGAAAAACCAGGTCCTCTGGAAAAGTAACCAGCGCTCTTAACCACCAAGCCATCTCTCCAGCTCCACCTGGAAAAATTTCAAGCACTTCTCTCTCTCCCATATTCCCTTCCCTCCCTCCCTCCCTCCCTCCCTCCCTCCCTCCCTCCCTCCCTCCCTTCCTCTCTCCCTCTCTTCCTTCCTTCCTTCCTCCTTCCTTTCTTCCTAAGAGATGATGCCAAACGTGGGGGTGCTCACAGTGGACTCCTGACAGCTCGTACCCACACCACTTACTCTGCTTCATGTTTGATGGATGCCAGTGAGCCCTGCCATTTCTGGGGACTCAATTTGTCCCAGTTGCTCCCAGGTTATAAAAACCTAGCAGTCATAAGTTTATGGAAATGGTAAAATGTTTAGAAAAAGTAAACATTGAAAGCTGGGAGCTGAGCCTGAAGTCTGTTCACCTTTGACAGGACTTCCCCTTCTCTGACGTGAGGCAGTGAGGTAGACAGGAATGCAATGCCAGTACTAACAGACCTGGGTCCAGATCTTACCTTCGTCTTCTACATACTGAGACTTAAGAATGACAGCCGCTCAACGCCTCAGATTTCCTGTCAGTAAGGAATGATGTTGTATCAGCCTCACAGGTTTCCGCACAAACACGAAGCCAATGAGCAGACGCAGGTGCTAAGACCCCTGCCTTGGACACAGCAGGTCTCCGTGACGTGCTCACTATTATGATCAACACTGTGTCTCTCAGAACCTTCATTTCATTTTCCCACAGTTCTGACTCGCTTTTCCCCGGTGATAGGAAATATGGCCGTGAGAAAAGACACTTGATCCTTAAATTTAACTACTACATCCAGAGAGTTCTTAGTTCTCTCCTCTTAAGCTCGCAAGTGCAAGGAAGGCAGTCTTTTCTCTGCAAGAACCAGGTGCTCTTCTTGCCCTGGTGAAGTCTGGGTAAGAATTTGACAGCCATTGTGGCATGAATGTGGGAAGCTCTAGGGAAGATGATCCCACTGTCAGTTCTCACTCACTAAAGACAAGACACACCTAAGCATTGCTTCCGAATTCTACCTTTTCCTTATAGATACAATTAGGTGAGATCATACCGCATGACAGTGTACCTCTGGATGAGATCATGCCAGATGACTATGCCTTTCACATCAATACAAATGATGTCCTCTTAAGAAGACAATGTGTCGAGATGGTAAGGGCCATGTGTGGAGATATGTTTGTAGAGGCAACTTTTGTGTAATTCTTGGAAAGTACTATAGCGTTTAATTGAGATGAGGCAAAATAATCACTGGCTTAGAGAAACAAGTGTTTTATGTGAAAAGAATAAAACTGCTTGTTGTAAAACATCATAAAATATTGAGGTTAAGTTGGATTTCAAGCTATTATAATTTTTATTCAAAGATGTGCATTTCTGGTTTTCTAATGCAGTCTTAGAAGCTGTTACTGCCCACAGACCTACAGCACGCCAGTCAGGATAGCCCTAGTTTCCCTGAGTGTTGATAAAACCTACAATGTGTGTTTATAGAATCTAAATTCGTCTGTGGTTTAGCTAAGTTTCAATTATTATAATAAAATTCTGGCAATGAGCGTGTTTAGAGAGAGAAGAGGTTTGTTTTTGCCATGATCTAGATTGGAAAGGCCTAGGCAGCATGCTACAGGCTTGTCTCATCCTATCCATTGAGAAGAGGCAGATGTGTATTTGACATCTGTGTTTCTCCTTCTCCAAGAGCCAACAGGATTCAGTCATGGGAACTCCACCCTACTGACCTGAGATCTCACCTCCAGATGTTGTGACTGGATTATGTTTCTACCCAGACTGTCAATACCGTGAAATTTGGAGACTGAACGGGTTCATTGCTGGAGGACAGGCTGTGTTCAAACCATTGCGCTTCTGGCTCCAGCCTTTGCTCCAACCAAACCAAAATGTGCCCTGTCCCCATATTTTCTAGTTTCTCCGCTTCTTCATATTTTCCTGACCAACTGGAGGTGTTTCCACTCCCCCTGAGTCTGTCACCCTCCTTCAGCTCACTCCCCCAATGGCTCAGGACTCATATTTGGTTTTGTTTCCAAAGTTTACCTGAACCCTGCATGCACAGCCTGTCTTTGATGGAGACATTGTCCTCTGGGTTAGATTTGAGTCAAGAAACACAGAACTCAAAACCAAAGAGCGCCGTGTTCGTCCTCCTTCCTTTTCTTCTTCTTCCTCTTTTGAACTAGGTTTTATTTTCTCCTGTGGGAACTTTAATTAGGGTTACTTTTACAAGTTAATTTGACTTAGATGCCTTAAGCTTTGTGTACCAGACTTTTCCTTTTAGGTTAGCAACCAGCTCCCCCAAATTTTTTATTATTTATTTTTATTTTTTATAAAATTTTATTATTAGTTTTGAGTGCTTGACCTACTTTGGGCTCATTTCTGGTTAGCTCTTTTAACTTTAATTAACCCGTTTTCTTTATCTACCCTGGGCCTCAGGTGTTTTTTTAACCTTTTCTTTCTGTATAGTTTACTTTCGCTACTTCTTGCGTCTGATTGGCGTCTTGCCCCAGGCGTGTCCCTCATTATCTCCTCCTTCTTGTTCTTCTAGGTTTCTCCTCTTATTTATTCTCTCTGCCTGGAACCCCACCTAATCTTTCTCCAGCCTGGCTATTGGCCATTCAGCTTTTTATTAGATCAATCAGGTGCCTTAGGCAGGCAAGGTGAAACAAATGCAACACGTCTTTGCATAATTAAACCCACATCCTTACATGTTAAATAAATGCAGCATAAACCCACGTGACCGCCTCTATCTAGTTAAACATGCCACAGCCGTTCTGAGCATCAGTGATGCGTTCATCCACGTCACATCCCACGCCATTGTCACAAAGCTTCTGCCAGACGAGAC